AGAAGTCGGGATGGTGCCATCTATTTCAGTTTCGTTTTAAAGGGTTTCACTACGTTTTCTTAAACTATTGTTATGTTATACGGTTTTCATTGAATCTAGTTATTTGTAAGACGATTAAGATTGAAATAAAAGAAGTATTGGATTGAAGAAAAGTGTTGTTATGGTTAAAAATAGGATCCTAGGGACAGGGTTGTTACATTTTCGACAGTCAATAGATGCTTATTAAAACCTGTCCCAAAAATCTCCTCCATAACCAAGTTCCCTGCAACGCGTTTGTACTTTTTTTTGCTAATTTTTTTGTCGAAAACACAACGTGTGACAACTTCAAAAACTGACGTTGGGATCGAACCAGTAGCTCCGTCTTCTAACACAATCTCGTCGTCAGCTGCTCCAAAAGCTGAAGGGTTCACCTGAGTCACAACAGCATCAGGACGGAGTTCATGTATGAGACACTCGGCGTCGGTAGCAGATCTTTGAGATAAGTTGTGAACAGAGAGTAAGTAAATGGTGGAATCATGCTCAGGGACTTTGATTGCGAAAACAAAGTTCTTTGTACTCTCAGGCACGGCAAGTCTCTGAACAAGCTCATTTGATTCCTTCAGGTCACTATCCATTATTGAATATGGCAATAGATCTTAATTAATTACCAGTTTGAATTACTTCTTGCACAACGGGCTACGCTATATATAGATCTACAAAACTAAAATAAGTAAATACCAATAATTTCCTTTTTCGAAAATTGAATCTGTAGCAAAACTAAAATAAGTAAATACCAAATATTTCCTTTTTCAAATGTAGCTTAACATTTTTCTGTTTTCATAATAAAAATGTTTATTTTCGTTTGAGCTGAAATTATTTAATTTTTTTTTAATATAATATACTCAGTTTATTGGATTCTGATAAATTAAACGATTATTGAAAAATAACTGATATGTTTTGCCTATTTGATAATGTAATTATTTCCTGTATTGTATTAACAGAAAAGTTAGATACAACGTTTACAAAAATAACGAACCAAATTTGGTTTAAAACTCAAATAATTAACCGTCAAATTCCTCAACCTTTGAGTAAGACCTTCCATAGCGTTATGTACCCTGTTGTTTCCTCTCCTTGTCACTTCCAGAGACGCCTCACGTAAGTTCTGAATCCCTCTACCAAGTTTTGCAATCTCAGAAGCTGAAGGAAGAGTCACAGCTGCACATTCAATCCCTTCTTCACAGTAGACCAACCCTGAAAAAGTTGCAAGACTAGCAGCTCCAAGCACAACCAATGGTAAGGCACGGAGAGGTTTTGCTAGTCTCTTCCGCATCATCATCGCATAGAACGCAGCTCTCATGGCATCAAAGCTAGTAAACTCAGCTGAAGTTAAAACATACTGTGTTACTCCTCTGATTCTCTCAGCGGATAATGATGACTTCACAAATGTCCTTGAGGGATACACCATTTTGGTAAATGCCAATGCCTTGCGGGTCAAGAAAAATCTGGCATTGGATAGTGTTAAAGCACTTGCACCAACCGCCACCACTGGTAATATCTTTGAATCATCATTACTATCAAAACCTAGCACCTTATGCTCGGTTGACATAACTTTGAATTCTTGAGGAACACAAGTCCTCCAGTGCCTCCTAAGACCTGCGAGGTTACTTGCATCTACTACCGCTACTATGTTCTTAAACTTCTTAGCCTGACTACGAAGATCATCTGCCATGAGTGCATAGGCTTTGTCATCAGAAGATAGCTTTGAAAACTGAACTTCAGTTCCTAGGTTCCTGATGTTTAGCCGACCAGCATTGTTCAAAGCAATTCTAAGACCTTCAACAGCAATCCTGAATAGGTAAACTTCAGAAAGAGCCTTTGTATCAATGGCTTCACCGTTATTTACATCAGACAACATCTTTGTTGCAGTGTCTAGAGCTTTCCTAATAGCTGGGAGATCATTAAATATGTTATGAAGCTCAACAAGTAAGTTGTAAACAGAATGTGCAAACGGTGGAACCTCAGATTCCATCTCATTACTTAAGTGAGTGATATGTGAAGATAAGAGTCTCTGCATCAGTGACTGTTGATCATTACTTATCCTAAACCTTGTTGATGACCCTAAAGCAGAGCCATAAGAATAACCTTGTCTTGTGGTTAGACCTTCCATATTAAAAGGAGAATCAAGTACCGTAAAAGTTGAACCAACCTCCTCAGCAACCCTTCTAGCAGCCAATAGATGTGCGTTAAAACTAGTCCCAAAGATCTCCTCCATAACCAAGCTCCCTGCAACGCTTTGGTACTTTTCTTTGTTGAGACTCTCGTCGAATAGACAACGTGTAAGAACTTTAAAAGCTGACGTTGGGAAGATGGAATCAGTTTTTGAGCTCTCCTCCTCTTCTCCAAATGCTGAAGGGTTCACCTG